TGGCCCCGACCGCCGCCGCGCAGCCACCCGCCGCCGCCGCCTGGGCCTACGAGCGAGGCGCCAGCAGCCTCAAGCCCAGGTAAGGAGGGTCCGCCGGGGGGGCTGCGCTAGGAAAGGCCGAGGACTGAGACTGGGCCTTGGGTCCCCTGCCGCCTATGGGGTCCTCTCCCCGCGCGGTGCGGGCGGAGAGGGGCCCCTAGCGAAGGGGGGGCTGAGGGGCGCCCCATGGGGCTGGGCCCACCAGGGAGCCCGGGCTGCAGGAGGGAGCCGGGCTCTGGGGTGCAGGGAGGGGGGCTAACTGGGGGAGGGAGAGTTGCTGGCTTCCCCTTCTCCAAAGGGCTGTGTTGAATCCGTAGCTAGGGTTCAAGAGTTCACGTTTTCCTCCTGCGAGTCCGGGGGCAGCCCCATACAGCAAACGTGCCTCGCGAGCTGTACAAAGGAGCAGCGTTCTCCCGGTGCCTTACACTGCGAAACAGCAACGTTACAAGCGGCCCAGTGGAAGGCGTGGTCCCGGTTTATTAACGGCATGGACTAATGAGGAATGCAGCGTCAAGAACAATACCGTGTCTTGTAGGTTCACTCCCTGCGCTGCGAGAGTAGGCTACACATTCTGGGGTATTGGGAGTTTTTGGAGACCTCATCCTAAACCACCAGAGGAAGCTGCTGTGTTTGAGCTCACCTAACCTCTTTGCTACATTCGCAGCTTTTGTTTCATCCTATTTTTGATTGTAGCATCATATTACTTTCGTTCACGGTTACCTTTTCCAATAAATCAGTTTTGAAAGGTGCAGTGCGCTTTCTGTGCAGAAACGTGTCCAAGAGGGTTCAGACACTTTTTGAAAAAGCTGGGAGAAAAAATATTTACGAAAGATTTTATAGGATCAGGTTTGCTGTTACATTGTATAATTCAGGTTAACTTTGTGAACTTGATTTTTTTTTTAGGATTTGGAATATTTTTTCTTTTAATCTTATTATTATTAGTTTATTATTTGATTAATTATATTATTTATCTATATATAGATGTAGCTCCAAATTACTGTTTTATAGAAAGGCAAAATACAGTGTTAGGATAGCATAATGGATTTTTCTGTTGCTATGCTAATATTTGGGCAATTAAACTTGAATCCTACTTTTCCTTTCCTCTTCCTGTAATGGGATGGGGCTTCCTTGGGTTCTGAAAGCAGTCTGAGGGGGCCCAGATCTTCCCAGGTATTTAGGCTCCGAACTTCCCAGACTTTTGTTCCCAAAAGATTCACCTATGGATTTGTCGAGAATAGGATAAAAGGTGGATTGAAAAACATCTTTTCTAAAACATTTTTACTAATGTTTTAAAACTCTAATCTAGGCAGAGCAAGTTAACACATTCCTGGTAGGGGTTTTCCTGTTTTGAAGAGTTTAGGGTTCTCCTTACCTTTATTAAGTGATTTAAAACACAGCTTGCTTTGTCTATATTACTTCTCCCCTCAAGGGTCTCATATTTAACGCAGTCTGTGTTTATATAACAACTGTCGAATAATTGAGATTATATAAAGTAACAATGAATATTAAAACCCACCAAAATGGAGGCTTAGAACTTTGCTGTTGGCATATGCAGTAGATATAAATTATTTGTTTTCAGAAGAATTTTAATTCTACACATTTTTTTCGTAGAAAAACTGACACGATATTGTAACAACTCCAAGTATCTGTAAGCCAGTCTAGACTTATCAGTTTGCATATTACAATGAATGTTTGTATTACAGATAAAAACTCTAGATAACTAAAACATGTTAAAATTGGCATAGAGAAATATTTTGATATTTATGCCTATTTTAACAAGTTTATACCTTTCATACTAATTAAACAAATCGGGTATCTGTCAGTTACTAAAATTATTTTTGTTTTACTTGTTGTCTATAGAGTACTAATATTTTAGAAGCCTGAAACTAAAGCCTTTTTCTTATTATAAACACAATTAAAAGAAAAACACACACAAATTATTGAATAAACTTTGTAAACCCATAAGAAAAAATATATCATATTGGCCAAACTTATTAACAGACCTTAAAACTAAAATCTAGCACTTATTTATGTTGCAAGTTCAACATAGGCAGAGGCAGTACAAGAATCCCTACAGTGCCCTGCTGGTGTGTGTCACCCATTTTTGAAGATCTGGAGTGAGCAAGAAGGTAAAATATTGAAAAAACAAGGAGAACGAACTGCTCTCTCAGTACATATCCCTCAAGTATCCACAGATACCAATGTCTGATGGGTAGGGATGCTGGTGTATAGTCATTTAAATGATTAATTGGTAAGCCTGGGCTCCGTGGTTAATCCTAATGACTACATGCACACTCCCCACCCTTGCTGCCTCTGTACTAAAGGTAGCAAGGGAGGGAGGGGAGAAGACGACTTCTAAGCTGGTTCCCTGCGCACACTGGTTCACGCAGAAACACCTACCCTTACCCCCTCCTACTGCCTCCCAAAGAGACAGCAGCATGGGGAGCAGGCAGGAGCCAGTGCTGCTCCTGCTGCCCCCCACGTGATACTGCCTCTTTATTAGAGGCAGCAGCGCTGGGGGTGGGGCAGGCAGGAGGCGATATGCGTGGGGAGCTGGCTTTTAAAATTTAAACTGGCTCCTCTCACGAACTAGTCCGCCTGTCATCCCGTGCTGCTGCCTCTGATACAGGTGGCAGGGGAGCTCCCTGGGAGTGGGGCTGGGAGCGCACTGGCTTCCAGCTCTGCCCGGGGGGTGGGGGTGGGGCAAATTCCTGCTGCCAGAGCCTTTTGGTACTGTGAGGAAAGGCTC